TGAATGTTACCTAAATACTTAGTCATAAAAATAATCTCAAAAGAATGCTCAAGACTGAATTTTCAGACATGTTTTGTTTCTTAAAATGGTGGTGAAGGAAGAGGTTATCTGAGAAATTTTCTTACATCAGAAACAACCTTCCCTACAGCAGAGGAATGGTGTGGCTCCACTAATGAGCAGAGGTAGAACTTTTCCCAGTAAGTGTTAGGAATAACATTTTCCCTCATCACAAGAATGACAAGTTTGGTTTTTTCTAAATGTGGAAGTCCATTACCACAGTGGTGGGTTTCTGGAGGGAAAGAATGTATGCTTTTAGGTTCATTCCATTATCTTACTCTGCTGAAGTGGTTCATCCCCCACCTTTATCCACACCATTACCTTTCCTTGCCCCTGACACGAGAATTTAACAAGCAGAATTAAAGCCTGAGGGGAAAGGGGGCAGGGGACGATGATCTGAGTCTGTGCCATGTCAGGAGGGAGTTGCAGATAGAGAGCAGTAGGGTGGAAGTTTTCCTGACAGACCTCCTCATCTGTTCATCACCTCTGGCTATGCAGCACACCCGGTCTCCTTGGGTGGGCTGCCAGGAATGGCACATAGCAGCACATACTTCAGCGGGGCCCCAGCACATACCTACCATCCTGGCTCCCTGCTCCCTTGCTGCCTCCAGCACAGACTGCCATTCTTCTGTCTCCGTTAACAGTTGCAGCAGCAATAATATTTTTAGGCTATGCATTATGAAAAGATGCAAAAACCGTAGCGTGTTTCTCAGGAAGTGACCAACATAATTTTTTCTGATTAATGGAATTTTTTTACTGCTCTCTGATCTCATTTCACTGAATGCCTTCATTTTACACCCTTGAGTAGGTCCCATTTTATTCCTTCTGGACTAAACTTACTTTCCTTGATTTCCTAAGGAAAAGGTCTGAGGCCTTTTTCTTTCCCATTTGGTCATTGGTCTCCAAAAGTGTGAGAGAAGATGCCCTGTTCTCAGAAATCCTAAGCATGCTTTCAGCTTGGGTGCTGCCTGTACTCAGGAAGCTCTGCTGCCACAGCTCCTTGTTGCTTTTGCAGATTGTGGCTGTTGTCACAATCTCAGTTCCCGTACTTTCCCATTCCGCAGCACTGTGTGTATGAATGTTGGGAGGGCAGCAGTAGCAGATGCATTGGGTCAGGGGCTGAATCACTCCTCAGTAATTCATCCTTTCCTCTCCTTATCAAATCAGAGGGTATAATGAATTCATACAAGAACTTAGTTATGAAAGCTGAGAACTGTTAATCCTTGTAATGCTGAGTTAAAGTGGGTGAGATAGAGTATGCAATATATAGGAAGTGCAATATTAAGCTTATTATTAACTAGGAATCTATTTAAATTAAAATCAGAACAGAGATTGCTTTGAAATATTTTACTTGCAGGATGGTTAGTACAACACTAGGATGGCACAGTGGAAAATCTAGTTGTTCTAAAAAGACATGTAAGCAGGCATATTTACTGCACGTTGTTGGATTAGTTTTGATGCTTCCAAAAAAAATCAAATATCAATATAACTAACTGTAATGGCATCTCTACCACACAGTCACACAGTTAAGTATTAGTTTTCAGATCTAGTAATATTGGCAATTCAAGGATGTTGGAGTCTAGAGAGGGAACTGATATGGCATGAAGTATTTGCAGTTTATAGAGCAGAAACAGAGGACTTCTGTTAGTTTTTCAGCCATGCTGAGAAGAGTAAGAATTATTGAGTCAGACCTCAGCTATTTTTTCCAAATCTCAGTAAATCTTAGCTGATCCTTGATACAAGATCTTGGTTAGGCACAACTAATTATTCATGTTATATGTGTGATTCAATCTCTTTTTGGTTTAGCACCAGCAAAGAAAGCAGTTGTAAGAACGAGGTCCAACAAACACCTTTCTTTCAACAGCAGCCATTTGTTTTTCTGACAGATTGAATTAATTCTAGAACAGATCAAAAGCAAATCTCTTAATTTTAAAGTCTTTGCTATGACCTTGCATACCTTTCTGTGTGAATATTCATAAATCATTAAATAATCATTGGATTTTTTCTTGCAAAGATGACTAAATACTAATTTGGCTCCAAGATCCAAGTAAATTCTGTTTTAGCAGCCATATCTAAAGACAACCAGCAGTATTTAAATCTTACTTCAAGCAGGCTGGAGACCAGGAAAGAGAAACAGAAATAAAACCAGCTTTTGTATGCAGTATATTTCTGATTGAAATTACTAGAAAATACTTACATAAGTAGTTAATTCTGTCATTTTAAGAACAGTAAAAACAATATTTAAACTTTTTATTATATTTTGACAATTTCAAAACTGTTAAAATC